AAATAAAATAAAACACACCCCCCCCCCCCCCCCCCCAAGTAGGGCATTCAGTGGCACTGTCTTGGTTTGTAGTAAGGTTGCTAACAGCTACATCTAGAGCTAGAGACACCATCATTACAGCTGCTGCCCCAAGCACGCGGCCTCCAAACCTCAGGCAGACACAGAGGGTGCAGATCCGCGACCTCACCTCGGCCACTGGAACCACTCTCCTCCTCACCAGTGCTAATGAGCTCAAGATGGACGGCAGGTTAGATCTGCCACAGTCAGTTCCCAAACACACTGCCAGCTTGAACGGGATTCAGAGTTAAAAATAATGAGCTGTGACTTTTTTTTTTGGAGGGAAATGGAAAAAAAATAGTAATTCAGAAAAATAATAATTCAGTGCACCCTCTCTAACTCCTGACAATCCGGCCAGGGATGCGAGCAGAGCAGCTGCCTGGTGGTGCCATCTAGCGAAACCAGGAGCCTGAAAGCAGCAGGACACACGAGCATGAATCAACATGCAATGTACCACCCTGTCAGAGAAACCACCCCAAGAGTACATATTGTAAGCATTAATCACCAAATCCTTCTATACATCCCAGCTGTGCCCGATACCGGGCAGATCACTGCAATGAGTACTGAAGAGTAAGCAGATTGCAGAAGCCCAAACAGACCATGAGTTAATCTATTTTATCATCACTAAGTCTTCACCCTCGGGAGCCCTGTAGCCTACTCTGCTCCGTTACAAAGCAACCAAAAGCCAGAACAGGCACACACCATCCCATTTGTCATAGCTATTCTTTTTTCATCCTCACCAGCCACGTGTAATCAGCCACTGCCTTCAAATTTACAGCCAAAGGGACTTTTTTTACTGCTGACAGTTCTTGGCACGTGAAGACGCTTCCCAGGGCAACCTGGGGACATGAAGACAGGAACCCAGAGTGCCACAGATGAAAGCAGGGACATCAGAGCCACATGCTTCTGCCTGCTCTCCAGGGAGGTAAGGAGACACACTTTTATAGACCCGAGTTTCCTTCCTGCCTATGGGACAAACAGGGCACAAGCAACACCTCTGGTCCATTTTAGATCACTAACACTTCTGATAAGGCCAGCACAATTTTAAACACAGCTTGGTATCCAGCTCTCTTTCCAGATTTACACTCCACCCACTGGTTAGTCTTTCAGTTAATGAAACTGCGGAGAAGCTAACAACTTCTGTCCAAGTAAAAACTGCCCTTTTAGAGCCAGGAACTGATCTAATCCAGGCACGCCACAGTAGCTGGTCCCATGGGCATCCCATAACATACCCACAGGGAATCTGAATGACACAGGTTATAACCTGAAACAAGGCTTTTTCCTCCCCTGCTCGGTGGGGAAGTACACAGCTTTGACAGCACAACTCATACAGGCTCCACATACCAGAAGGCAAACCCACCTCCAAAAGCAGAGTCAGCAGCAGGCTCATAAAAGGCTGGGAAGAAGCACCAAAACATTAGCTGGATACAGCTGATTTCCAAACAAAGGGCTCTTTGCTGTTCTGCATCTAGATGGTAATTAACTGTTCAGTCCAGCTGTACTTGAGCACTCAGGCTGCCAGCTGGAGCACTACCATCTGCCCCTAGGGACAGCCTGGGCTCATTCCCCTGGGAAATGCCTTCCTGGTCCAGCCTGGAAGGATGCAGGAACATCCCGGCCAGGAGCCTCGACATTTCAGAAGTACAACTTTGTACTTCTTTTACTGGCAAGGTGACAGGGCGATATATGAAAAGATGATCGCCCTAACCCCAGGACTTCGGTCAGGCACATGCAGGGTTCAGTGCCACTCTCAAATCCACAGAAAACCAGCACTCCAATGACCTGATCCGCTATTGCCATTAATAACAAAGCAGCAGTCATGTCAAGTTACACCAGGCATTGCTGCAGCAGTTTGTGTCCTATCCCTGTCCAGAAAAAACACCCGATTTCCCTTATCCAGCTGAATCCCACCATGCGATATCCCTGCAGCAATGACTTCCATCAGCACAAACAAGGTCTATCATCACCGACACCCTTCAAAGGGCCATTTGCATTTCACGCACCCACAAGCAAGAGACCCATGGGCCAACCAAGCCGTTTGAGTGGCCAGAACTTATTTAAACCGAACCCAATAAGCTTGCTCAGCTCATGGCGCAAAGAGTATGATGCTGCAGAGAAGCTGATGGAGGCCACCAGGCCAGCCAGCTGACCACTGGCATGATGCTGCAGAGAAGCTGTTGGAGGGGTCTGCAGGCCACCAGGCCAGCCAGCTGACCACTGGCCCAACTGCAAGAGCACCAGGGATGATTTTCATTATTGTCTTAATGAGAAGTGACACGTTATGTATCCACAGCCACTCAGGCTAGAAATACAGTAATTCAGTGTGATAAGATGACAAGTAAGAGGTAAGAAGTTAATGGTGTGGTGCCTTGTTGAACACAGCTTGTCATGCCTCATTAGATTTAAGAGAGTTATCCGAGACTGTGTAATTATCAGAGACAGTAAAACTGTTGCATTAAAGATAAAAGCCAGTATTATAGAGAAATAATTAACTGCTTAATAGGGCATTTACTGTGCAGAGCTGCAGCAGGCTGTCTCCAAATTAAACCAGAAATCCAGCCAAGATTACCAGAGCTTAAACAGGCAGAGTTGTTCAGTAGCTGTAACCCAGAGGTTAGGGGTGATGCTAAATCCACATAAAAGAAGCACGAGGTCTTTGAAAATTCACGGAGCTGATGAAGTCCTCTTTGAAGCAGCACTGCTTCTTTTGTGCTTTGGGAGCACAGTAGGGCTCTGGAGTAACAGGCTGAGCAGCAACTGCAGTGTCCCTCTCCTCTTCCAAGCCCTGCAGAGAGCCAAGCCATGGCATGCACAGCCACAGGCTCAGCTGGCTGGGTTGGAGAAAGGCTGAAGTCTCCTTTGCTCTTCTCAAAACGTGTCTCCACTCACCGGGGTCAACTCAGTTTTCCACCAGCTGTAGGTGTGGGTTTGCTACCATGGTTCAGACAGATCAGTCCACTCAAGATTTTTTTTTTTTTAAGAAGAGTTGTGCATGCTTATGCATGCATCAAGCAAACAAGAAATATGTGAAGAAGAGTTGTGCATGCATCAAGCAAACAAGAAATATGTGATATTTAAGTTTTAGCACCTACAACCAAAAGTTGAGTTTAGTGCACACAGAGCTGCACAAGATGGGAGAGAACTCCCATCCAACTAGATTAAAAATGAGACTAGTGTATACTGGGTCTACACCAGGAGACATCAGGAATTTGTCTTCCCCACAGCATTGATCATTTTAACTCTGCCTCCCTTCTCAGCTTCTTCCATTTGTAAAGCAAGCTGGCTTTTACAAGGAAGCAATGTTACTGCACATCTCTATAGCTAAGCGATCTTCCCAAACCGCCAGATACCTGCAAGCCTAGTCAGGGCAGCAGTCTGGACCACACCACAGGCCAGGAAAGCACAGGTCCCCCAGCTTTCTGGCATGCATTTGCTCCTCATGGACCCACGTGCTAGCCACTGCTTTTTAAGTCTTTGCAAGCACGCTATACATACACAGTAAGGACTCCCGATCTCACTTCGTGCCTCTTCACATCATCACTAAACAGGAAACTAATCCTAGTGACATATGAAACAAGTAACATTCACGTGAACCTTTAGATTCTCTCCCCAAATCTTTCCAAGGGGAAGAAAACACCAGTGGAAGTACAGGCAAGCTTTCAGACA